CACACCAATTACATCCACCAAATCCCTGGAACAATCAATCTAACCAATCTGAATCGCCTCGCCATTCACCCAACCAATTACTAATCCCACTCAACCCCTGAATGCGACCCCCTTCCCAAAATCAACCACAAATGCGACCCCTCGTTCGAATAGTGCGAACGCACGGTTGACCCTGGCTAGAACTGCCTGTCAACCTACTTGGGCTTGGTTACCGAATTTGGCCGCCAAGCTTGCATTCGCTGAGTGACATTATTTGCCTTACCCGAATCTGTTATACATTTGTCTTTCGATAGCTTTCATACTTCCTTTTGCTCTCCAGACCTGCCCGTTTTCTCATGGCTTGACCCACACGATGTGCTGGATCAGGGGTACTCTGATGGCAATGGAGACTTCAGGTTGGTCGGCTCTACAGAGGAATTGACGGCAATGGAGCCTGTCTTGGAGATCTATCATAATTGCAATGATGGAATCAAAGTTAGTTATTTGCTCACTATATATTTTCAATTTTATTGCTCAGTTCAAAATTAAGGCAATACTATATCGCCTCAAATAATCGAGTCGTAGGCGGCAGATCGCTTGCATTTTTCTTCGTGAGGGGGTGTTACACGTGGTCCCATAAGGCCGAGGGCTGAGTTTTGAGAAAAAAATCCCAAAGGAAAGGAGGGAGAAGGAAAGCCTCATAACTGGGACCATAGGGCGCATTCGAAAATGGCTCATGAATCAAGTTCTGTTGTGAGTTCGACCACGAGCAAGGTTTTGTCAAAATCCGGAAGTGAAACTCTCTCAAATTCACATTTACAGCGCGTTTTCACGTTTTAGTTTCACGCTACCAAAGTTGTGAAAGTTCTACGGCGAATATTCGAAATGCGTGAAGAGTCTTTCCCGGAAGAACATGATTCTATTTCACCCATGAATCAGTGGCCTGAGGTCCATCGTTCACGTTAAGAACGAAAACGAAAAGAACAAAAAGCTTTGTTTTGGTAAACAATCCAAAAGCCTGAACGATCGCTAATTCCCTCCGGACACCTGTCAAAATGCTGGCGGTGGGAATGCTTCCACTGGGTGCGTCAGTAGAAACTATTTTTGACCTTTTGTCTGCCTTTGGCGCCGCACCACTTACCTTCAACTCCCCATCGAGTGTGGTATACGTAAGTTCATTTCTCTTCGAAACTGAATCTTCGTGTGTGAAACTTGTATGTTGACTCAGTTATCACAACTAACATATCCATATTGGAAAGTGAAGCAAGGATTTTGGGCGATTCCTTCAGAGCAGCAACCCCAGACCAAATCAGTGAGGTACAGCGGTTGGTAATGAGGGCGAAGAAAGGACGTGTCTGGAAGTGTTTTTGAACAAAATCGCCTCAACGCGATGTATCTATTATATCTATTTCTATCGGCTATCTTAGCCGCTACCCGTAATCCACCGTGCTAGGGAGTGCGAATATCTCGTCTAAATGCTGAGATTAGTCGCCAATCCTGACTTTGTAAGACCCTAGCCCCATTGCCGCACACTTGCGAGCTGCGACAACGGCACATCTTACTCGTGGGCTAGTCTATCCCACTTATTGAATAGATTCCTCGACACGACTGCTGCTAGGGCTTCTGCTCCGGTCATGGGTTCAGAGTTGGCGTTCGTAAATGGGGCGAATACGCGATGAGGAAGGAAAGGGGTGCGTATGGATTAGGCGAGTAGGCGAGATTAGGCGAAGCGTGTAATGACCATACAAGTATCCTTTTCTTATCTGGCTATGCCTAAACGCCCTTACCCGCTAATGGCTTACTCGATTAATCTCCTGATCGATACGAATACTTTCTGTGAATCAAAAAAAAATCGAAATTTCAAACTAATTCCACGAGAAACCTATTTATCAGGTTTGAAGAGATTTTGTCGCTTTACAATGCAAGTGTCACCAAACTTGTGTATGCTTTGATATTTTCAAAAATTTTATGTGGTATCACCAAAATTGAATCATGCAAATTCTATCGCTATTCGTAAACTAAGCGATAATGTGGGGGCGGAGAGCACAAGAGAAGTCCGTAGAGAGTAGAGCCAAAAAAAGCAGAATAACCACTGTGAGGCAGGATGAGATAACGAACGGTGGGCGGAACCCTAATGGTGTTTTGTGCGCAATTCGTATCAAAGCCTCTCAAAGTCTTACGCGTCTATACAAGGAGGCGCCTCAGGGTCAGCGCGCATTTTCAAAAGCAGTTCTGCACTGTGCATCATTAGGAACTCATGCTCTGGACTACAGAACGAGGTCCATTCTTGCTGCCCGTGATGACATCTTTGAAATTTAATTAAGGCTTCCGAATTTTTTCCAAATAGCACCAGCGCTAAGAGCACTTATCATATTCATTATCAGGACAACCAGTAACCACTACGCTCAGATTTTAACTAGAATCCACCGGAAAAAAGCTGTAACACCAGAAGGGCGCCGGGTGGTGCCGAAGTGGCGTTGGGTGGAAAATTGGATTGGAAACTGAGTTTTCTCGTTGTCCTTCTTGAGATGAGTTCAACTACTAAATGGACAATGACAGACACCCAAGCTGGTAATGGACAACAGGACACGCATGATGTTGAAGTTGGCAGATTCTTATCTCTATCAAAACGTGGTGCCTCATCTCATAGCTGGAGCGATTTCAAGGACCGCGATGTGATGGGAGATGTTCCATATGGAATCGAGCTTTGGATTCCGTGAATCATCAGGGTGTTCCACTTGATTTCCGCGCAGCGCTCGTCTTCAAGTCGCCCGCTGGCGTGCATGACGACCTGTGGCCCATGGTCACCTCCTTTTTCGAAATTAGGTCAAAATTTCGATTTTTGTCGAAATGTTGCCTATAGGGGTGAGTCAGGGTGCAGATAAGGGAAATGGCGTTCACTCTTGGCATCGACGCCGATTGGCGCTAGTTTGACGCTGCAGATTTATTCTGCCACTTTCCGACACTAAATCCATTAGCAAGGGCAGCTGTTGGTCGTGGTTTTGAATAGCGCTCATTTTCGACGTTTAAGCAATTTAGCGCCGGTTCGGACTTACAGTCGAAAACGTGTGTACCGTGGAGTGCCTAGCGAATCCGAGTCCAACACGCTATCCACTTGACCACCAGACTGCTGCGAATGTAGGATGCCGACGACGCTTATGAAACCTCCACACTTTCCAGCACTACCACTGACAGTACTTCAATTTTGGGCGAATTTCACGTTGTTTTCGATACCATCTTTATCAGCACCCTTCAATATGCAGGTGATCTTCTGTACAAGTCCGAAACGTCACTCCAAGCTGTAAAAACCGCCCATTCTTAACAATTTTTTCGACCTTTTTTGGCCTTCAGGGGGCCGCTCAGCGAAAATGAAACACAGTATTGTAGTCCGCGCAGAATGGTTTTTCGCATACTGTAGGGGTCTCGAGAGCTTCTACAGTATGCGAAAAACCATTTTGAAAGAGTGCTGCTCGGCCAGAGTGACCCTGCCTTTTAGCGGCCCGTTTCGATGTGCGCAGATAGCGTGTCTTGTGCAGTGGCGGATCACGCATCTCTATCTACGGGGGCGACTACTTTAGTGAGCCCGGACCTTGCCTTTAAAGTCTTTTGCCGTTACTCTACAGGTGTTTTATGATGTTCAAACGTAACGTAACGTGGACAAAGGAGCAGTCGTTGTTCTAATAGGCTTTATGATACTATGTATGGTATGCATTTTGTGTATGTTATGTATATGTATTTTTTACTTGCCTTGAGCAGCATCTCAAATAAAAAAGTAAATTGTTTAGTTTACGGATCCTCAATATACACATTCGTTTTTCAGAGAACTCAGAATGGAATCTTTACCTCTATCTCTCATATGCAGGATCACCGTGCTTCCAATTTTATAGAAATATGTTCTTTAGTCCCCATCCGCATAATCTGTAGGCCGGCTCTACCTACATAAAAGGTTTATCAGTCACTCATTCATGAGTGTTCATCATTTAATCAGCTCAATATGTTACCATCAACTGGAGGCGTGCGGATCCCGCATACTGGAATTTGAGGGCAAATTGTGCGAGAAAGTAAACAATACCTCACGTCGACATTGCGACAAGACATTGCGTAGCAGTTAACATTATTCTTAGTTCCTGATCGAGTTGGATCTCAGTTAGAAAGGAGGGCTTTAGCTCAAATTCGATTCAGACTATGGACACTTCTAAACGGATTAGCCTTTGAATTTATGGAGAACGCCTGAACTTTGGAAGGGGTTTTTTTGGAGAATCGATTGATATGCATTGTATTATGCCCCACCTCAGGAAATAAAGTGCCCATCTCTGCTCAGATGTGCTGATCCTTTGGTTATTTTGCATTTTGGACATGTTCTTCAATTCATCACGATTTATTTTCATAGTGAAATAACTTCACCATTTTTTACAGGATGGGTTCAGAAAACTACGCTTCGGTCTGCCGGATCAATATATCACAGCGGGGAAGGTACCAGAAAAAACCGTCGATGTTGGCTTGATCAATTTGGAACTCGTATACAAAGACGAAACCAGAGCAGACGTTGATATTTTTGATGGAATTGCTTCGATTGAGCCCGTCTCAGTTCAATGAATAAGTACAGTTGTTGACTAGTACAAAGCGTGAGATGAAATACATCACACGACACTTACTCTCACTTCACATCACATATAGCCAGGATCAGGATTAGGTGCCGAGATCCAGTCCCCCAAGAGTGAGAAAAAAAGGTTCATTCAAAAAGCTCTTGGGCACATAAGTTTTGTGAAGTTCTCAAAACTAGTGAGATATCTACTTCATTTTAAGTCAGTCCTCAAACTGAACTCCGCTAGGGCTCTGGCACGTTACATCTAGCAGCAGTCTAACCTATCAGGGAAGCCCTTATAGTAACAGTTTGACTCTTCCATAAGTTTGGAACCACCACAGATGGAAAATTCGGGGTGATTGAAGTATAGTGCCACAGGATATATTTAGAGGCCAGAACTAGGTCCCCTTGTCGACTTTCGTACACCCAATATGAAAAAATTGATGCGAAAACCCAGCCAGACACTCTAAAGAATCCAATCTGTAGAGGGATGGAAAGCCACACGAGTAGTCTACTTGGACTTCTTACAGGACCGAGCACCCAAGAATAAAGCAAAAATCAGGAAAGCGAGTTTCGAGTTCGTGCTTTCGAGAAGTGTACAAGAAACCTCCATGCGAGCTTAGATTTGATATTCGATCCTGGATGCAGAGCAAATAAATGTCCTGTACAGTGGTTGGTGCATGAAGAGCAGAGCAGAGCAAACAAGTGCCTGCGGAAACTTCGGCACACCGCACCTGCGTGCCGCACAGCGCCATCCTTCTTCTTGGAAGGCTCGTGGCAGGTGGAGTTCATTTTATATGGAATTACTTTAGGGAAGAGTTATCTGATGGTTGGTTGTTACTTCCAAGCTACGATGCGTTTTTAAGCCATTGTATTGGTCCTCATTATTGGACCCCTGTACACTGGCGGCGCTTGTGTTGTTGTTTGTTATCAGGAAGGTACTTGGAAGTCGTAGTGTCGGGCCTTGTTTTATACACAAAAGTTCTCTCTTCGTAGACGAGTACTGGAGGACAGGTCCAAAATCAACAACAATCATACCACAAGAACTACACCATGTTACGATTGCGATATAATTGCGATATACAAGCTTTCGAGTTCGGTACCAAACAAAATATGATAAAAAGGATTGGTCGTACTTCTATTCTGATGATGTATGCAGCAAATTTCTTTGACGCTGTGAATCTTCGTTTTATTTGGTAGAACAGTGGATTAGCAAACAATGGGTGTCTGCTTTCAATCGATTTTACGTTGATTATAGACGGAGGGGGAAGGCAAAATATAATAGTTCAGCGTGGCTCTGTAACATAGTGAAAACCAGTTGTAGCAAAGGTCATATCCTTGATGGAAAATCCTCGTGTGTTTCGAGAGGTAGCGCCTGTCGGGAACGGCCTAAATTTTAATAATACCATAACCTTGATTAGAGAAAGGGAGTTTCGCGGATATCATGATCTCTATTATATTGCAGCGTAAATCTCGGGGTTGAGACTCTTATCTACGATGAGATGCAAAAAAGACGATATCTGATTTTGGCTAGAATTCGAAAACTCGAAAGGGCTGCTACGCGTTCAAATTGCCCACGGACGTCTTTCACACGAATGCTGGCGACGGGGATGCTCAAACTTGGTTCTTGGAGTGCCTTCACTAGAAGCTCTTTCTGGCCTTCTGCTTTATTGCATTCACATCTTACACTTCTACTCCATCCTATTCTATCGATCGATTTGTCTCTACTCTCCAAATCGATCACTTTACCCGGATTCCGTCATTGCGTACGTAGCCAACTTCTTTCCATGTCTCGTTTGGCTCCGCCCGAATTACCTTACGCCGAAGGAGAGAGGGTCCTGGACCTGGCTACAGCCCACGATCTGGCAATCTGCAGCACGTTCTTCGCGAAAAGGGAGACTCAGAAGGTAACCTACAGCAGTGGAGGGCGACAAACGGAAATCGACCATGTGCTCGTAAAAAAGATCATCCCTCAGAACTGTGAAGGACATCAAAGGTACTCGCTGGCGGCAAATTGGCTCCCCTCCTGGCCGACATAGACCTCACCCAAGAAGACAAGGGTAAGAACCGAGAGGAGAATCCGGTGGTGGAAGTTGCACCAAGCAGAGAAGAGCGACCTCAAACGAAGGATAATGGAAGTTGGTCTCCCAGATCCTGAGGGACCAGTGCAGCAGACTTGGGGCAATGCAGCTGAGATCATCCTACGATGCGCCAAGGAGGTACTGGGCGAGACGCGAGGTGGATTCAGAGGAGACAAGGCAGCGTGGTTCTGGAACGAGGAGGTCCAGCGAGTCGTGAAGCAGAAGAAGGAAGCATACAAGCGCTGGCAGAAGACCCGGAGCCCCCGAGGTGTCCACAGAGCCTGCAAGAGGCTTGCTAAGGCTGCTGTCGCCAAGGCGAACAACACGGACGCCTTGTACGAGAAGTTGGAAAGCAGAAACGCAGAGAAGTTCGTCTTCAGGCTGGCTAAGGCCCGGCATCGGCTACTCAAGACATCAGGGTGGTGAAGAGTGTAAAAGGCAGCAATGGTGTCATCCTAAGGAAGCCAGCCGAAGTCAAGAGGAGGTGGGAAGAGTACTTCACGGGGCTTCTGAACGAGGAGTTCCCCCACAAGAACAACTCACGGGCAGAGGCCACAGCTGGTCCCATCGCACTCTGGACAGAGGAGATAGCACTTGGGAAGATGAAGGTTGGAAAGGCAGTTGGTCCGGATGGAGTACCCATAGAGGCTTGGAAGGCGCTTGGAGAGCACGGGGTGAGGTGGCTCACCCGCTTCCTGAACACGGTAACTGCCGAAGGAAGGATGCCGGATGCCTGGAGAACAAGTACTATCGTCCCCATCTTCAAGCAGAAGGGTGACGCGATGGACTGCTCCAACTACCGCGGGATCAAGTTGACTGCGCATACCATGAAGTTGTACGAGCGACTGGTCGACTCGAAACTGCGGGAGCTGGTCCCATCTCCCAGGAACAGTTCGGGTTTATGCCCGAAAGGTCTACAATGAATGCCTCGGGTTTCGAATGCCCTCTGAGCTTGAAAGTGCGCGACAAACGCGCCGGAAGCTCGCTCACCCGCAATCCACACCCTAGTCCGCAAGCTCCACCCCTGCCGTCGCTGCCACGTTGGCGCAGCGATAAGAGCGCGGCCGCAGCTGCGGCAGTGTTAGACTGCGACTCAATGTCGCGCATCGTATTTGTGGTGTGTATGGGCGGTTTCCAGTACTCTAACATATCGAACGCAACTTGCGCGACGAGTTCTCTGGGACTTACATCTCCGCAGCTAAGGCGCAGAGTTTTTGATTTTTTTGAACTTTGCTTAGTTCGTAAGCTGATACAGGGTATCAGGTTCTTCCTATGTCTTTAATATGACGCGTTCGAGAACCAGAAGGAGGTTCTATGAAGGTAACGCGACCTAAAACTAATCTACGTGCCAAAAGCTTCACGTATAGAGCTGGTAGTGATTATATAAACATTGCAAAGAACATACCGGTTACTCTGTCACAAGCTCAGTTCAAGCATCGTATAGTCACATACTACTGAGGAACCAAGAGTCATAGTTTTGTGAGACTGATTCCGAAGTTAACTGTTTTAGTAGTTGGGATCTTTATAAGCACACTGTTCTTTGTATATAGATGCTCATTTCATTTTCACGTGTGGCTTTTGCAGACGTAAAGAACTTATATTTATAATGTACGCCACTCTTCAGAACAAAATCGCTTCCGCTAGTATGTCAAAGCATTGAAGAGGCGTTGCAAGCGGCTCATTTCGTTCAAGAAAAGCTGTATTTCACGACAAAATCGTGATGTAAGGATTTTTGATGTCAAATCCAGTTATAAAGGCGCATCTACCGCGTGAACGCAGTTTATGTGGGGCACAATAAGAACTACAGTATGCCTTTTGTTGTGAATTGAATTAGGAACCTCGCTGTTCCATGTGATTTAGAAATTATGTCGAAAGGAAAAATGCAATTATTCCTATAACAAGTTCGGCGGTTTCCGAAGTTGTTCGTTGTACAGTCATTTTCTGAAGCCATTTTTTACTGTCGGCACTACTTGACGTCAAGCTTGCGGCAGATTACGGTTCGGATTACGATTCGGAGTCGGTTCACAGCATGGCGAACGCCATTGAAAAGGGATGATTCTTAGCGTAGCCTACCAGAAATGCACGCCATTTTTAGGCCAGGAGATGTGAAGCTCACTTAGGTGAGGGCCCGTCTATCATATAATAGTGATTCATACAAAAGTGAAAGAATACAGACGCTTAACTTTGAGTATAGCAGAAAAGACTGAAGAATTTGGAAGTACTCAGCCACCGATAGGCGATGGGCAGGAGAGATATTGTCAGTAAGTTCTCCGAACTGGCGAACTGAGAAGTCGACTCATAACGGTGCACACAAACATGTGAGCTCGACTTCACCGCGTCCATGAAAATTACTTTTGGAAGAGGCATAAGACAGCAATCCTGCACGCTACGAGGGAAAAGCTTGCCAAAGACGAGAGGGGGCTATCTAGAAGAATTGCCGAACTCGGGGTACGTTCAACGGAGATCTTCACCTGTACCTGATGGTCAGCGCTAGGCATACTTGAGGGGAAGGTTCAACGGAGCTCTATCATAAAGCGTTGAGCATGACGCACAAGAGATTGCGAGAATGATGCGCTTGATGTTGGTATGTGTACCGGGTCGGGCATCGGTGTGTGGATGCCTAAGAGTGTCAGTGTGTTCGTTGTCCGCAAATGAAATGATAAGGAGCTAATGAGGTACTGTCAAAAGCTAGGATCTCGCAGATCTTGTGGCTTCAACTTCTCAGTAAGACATTGTGAACCGCTATACAGGGGTGCATCTGTAATCGCCGTCAAGTTCGAGAGGTCTTCCGGAATTGCTCCAGATTCAATGAGCTACATGATTACTTTGAATGATTGACTGATGGATATCTTCCAAGAGACAGCGGCTCTGACTGTGCAAGACCGCTTGAGACCAGTATTCCGAATAACGTTGTAATGGTCCATGATCCG